AAAAAAAAAAATTTCGTCTAATTGTGATTTCAGGCCTATGAAACGATAATTTGAGTTCTCCACCCCTGGTTTTGGATGGAAACAGTGTGGTGTCACGAGGAAGGGAGAAGGATAAAAACTAAAAAAGTGAAGATATCCTGAGAATGATCTCATTCCATCACTCTATCACGATCGTGAACAGGCCTTTCCAAAAATTTTGTTTCTTGGTACTAATTCGCCGCAAGAATCCACTTGATTTTTGCGTTTAGAAATAAAATTTGGACATTTTATGAGTTTACCTGTCTGTCTGCAAGCCTCTCATTATAATCATTAAGACTGAGATACTGGATAAATCACTGGCTAATTTCATAGTCCGCCGGCGTTCCGGCGTGCCAGCCGAGGTAGTGCTAGGGGGAAGGAGGGAGGCAGACGGTCGGTCGACGCGGTCGCGTCGCGGCCCGCCGAGCAGGCGGACTATGAAAGCAGCCTTTGCGGAACAAGGTAGTATTAGATGGGAGGCAGCAGAAAAGCTGTTTGGCAGAACGTTAGTGATAACTCATACTCTGCGGTAGATCATAAAATGAATATTGTCTTCGCCTTGGTGATTTCGATTAGCAAATTACTAATCGTAGCCGATCAATAGCGACGATATGATACGATAATTTGATAGCCATCAATATTGATTGCTTTCCTGATCGATGATCGATCAGAGTCATAATTTGTCCCTATTCCACAGTACAGCAACCGGATGGGTAGGCGGTGGGCAGGCGATTGGGTTCGAACTGCAGCGCTGTCTTTCAATAGTTTCCGATGGCCCTGAACTTAGCTCGCTCGCTCAGTTATAACAACTGACAGTGTAACAGTTTCAACCAGCGACCTTCTGCCACAGTGCGAGTTTCACATTAATAGGATTACTACGTGTTTCTGCTAAAAACAGCTGCAAGTAGCTTAACGGTCTCATCTTCTTCTAATCTCACTGTTAGACCGGTCAGATAGTGTACTGGTCGCGTCTGTGGAAGGACTGTCGTATTTTCTGGAATGCACTGATACGAAGATCAGTCAGTGAAAGAGTGAACTTCTTCTTCTTCTCCATAACGTTGATCCCGCGCCGTCGCAGGGTTTGCCTCTCGTCAGTCGTCTCCACTTACTTTGGTCTACGGAACCTTCTGCCCCTACTTAGCTTCTGCGAGGTCCTTCTTGATGAACATAAATTCCAATTCAACAAGTAGCCGCCTTAGTCTTAATTGGAGACAAAATCTCAAAGCCGTGAAAGGAGTAGCCACTGTCGCTTTGAAATCACACAAGGGTCGTGACGCTTCCTCTCCCGACAACAGGTGTAAATCTCGAAAGCAGGACCTGAACAATGGTTCGCTTTACTGGAGTACTTTGCACGATTTTCACCCACGCCCCGCCCCTTGCCCCTTGAATTGAGACTGGTCTTATCACTGCCACCAGTGTTTCCATCTTCTGGCCCAAACTCCTAGTAAATTTGAGCGCTCTAACGATGAGTCCGAACCAACACTTTTTGCTCTAGACCCGCCCCCTGTGGGCGGAGTCTAGTCCTACCACCTATCATCAGTGTTCCCATCCCGCCGCTTGTGCTCTGGAATCTGAAAGCTCTGAGTCCGAACGAACTCTTTTTTTTTTTTGCTCTAGACTCCGCTATCTGTAGGCGGAGTCAAGTCCTACCACCTATCATCACTGTTCCCATCCTGTCGCCTGTACATCTAGCAAGTTTGAATGCCCCATGTCCGAATTGCCAATTTTCACATAGTCCAGTCCGAGCGTAAGTGCTCCCATCATGCCGCCCAGTATTTCTAAGAAATTTGAACGCTATAGATGCACGGGAACAATAGTAATGAATTTTCGCTCAAACGTTTATTTCGCGCAAACCCCGCCCCCTTTGGGCGGGGTCCGATCCTGCCACCCGCCATAAGTTTTCCAATCCTGCCGCTTATAGTCCTACTGAATTTGCATGCTCCAGGTCCAGTTAGGCAAGAGATATGAGTTTCCAGCCAGACACACACACCACAAACACACACAAACACAAACATACACACGGCAGGCATTCTCAACGGATTATATAAGTTTTTTTTCCCTGGCGAACGGATAGGGAAGGGATTAGAAAACAGAGATGAATGCGTCGTAGTTCGATATCTGTCAGAGTCGAAAAGTCGGTACTGGCACTCGGCTCTTACAGTAATCCCCTAGCTTATCCGCAACCTACCCTGTGTCCTTCCTAGAGGGCCCTTGATCAGACTGAGTACTTCCCCTTTTCGACGTCCCCTCTTATATGTAACGGGTGAGAAATTGTGTATAAAAATGGGTTATGCCGTGCCGGATTACTGTAAGAGCCAAGTGCCGTACTGTATTTTCGTTCCTGTCGATAACGTCGGTTGGCCAATTTAAGTATTCTGAGAAAAGAAAAGACTTCGTCTTAAATGCATTATCAACAAACCGCATAGACTTCACAAGTATAAATATTTACGCAGTAGGACAGAAAATCCAGGGTTTTTCGCGTTTCCTACTTCTGCTTTGTGTATTAGAACATTGATATCAGAAGATGTACACACAAAACTTCCAGCAACAAATTAATTCAATCTGATCACTTTTACATGGCTCTTTTCGTCAGTAAGTATAAAAGCTGAAGACGAACCCTCTAAAGAATGCACTAAGTTTATTACGGGTGCAAAAGATACATGTAGGAAGGGCATATCAGACATTCGTACAACATTACTTCTCCACGTGTCTAATGACCTCCTAATTCCTAATGACTGGAAAGTATCTAATTCTGAGGTATGTAACCATATTCAAATCCCCTGTCGCGCTCTAATGCGAGAACACGCGTCAGAGGCATCCTTTAATCTTCCCTGTTGCGACGCGGCGATGGCGTGCCATCCGCGCCGTGGAGGAGCATTGATTGGGCACGCCGGCTCCTGAATGGTCGCTTTCTATTGGGAAGTAGCTTCTTTATTCACGATTAGTAATGTTTTCTTCAATATCGATCTGGTCACTTTACGTGTGACGTTCTCTCTGTGTTGATTTCGTTGAGATTAAGTGGCAGTGAGTCCTGGTATAGTTCTTTGATCTCAGTTCTCGTTTGTTCAGATGTCTCGTGGTGGACGTGCAGAAAACGGAGGAATGAGGAAGAGGCGCAGTGAAAGAAGCCGCTCGCGCAGTCCTCAAAAAGGCGATCCCAAAAGAATTGCAGGTGCTCTATTATTTTGTACTCTATGATGTCAATGGAATTTTCAGAGGATCGCTATCATTGAGGAGTAAGGACGGTCGTGATCCATGGCGGCGTTCATTTCTTAAGCTCATCCTTAAGGAGCAGAATCTACAGAAACTGCGCCGTTGCACTTTGTGCTTCTTCAGTTTATTCGTCTTCGAAAGCGATTCCGGGAAGGTGCTGCTAGGGCATCTATGGACAGCTCAATGCTCCTCTCTTCAGTCTTCTCGCGGCTGTTATCAGGACCGGCCTTACAATCGGACAACACGTTTTTATGCGGAAAATTTGCTTTACAGCCCAATACCCTTTCGTTCTAGTTTCACTTTCGAAGAATGGATGAGCTCCAGTACTTCTGCCAGCTGTTTGGAATTAGTTTTTGTAATTAACGTATGAACCATTGCGAACATCACAGAGTGAATCCCCACTGCAAATGTCATTTCAGCATCAGTCGTTAGTTTGCCTCTACCACAAGCTTATAACTTACATACGATATAAATTGCAGCGTCGTCACTGACATTTGGCGTAACACGTTCTCATTGAATTTGTATTTAACGTTCGGTTTAGAAACGTTCACGGATGCGACCGTTCAGTTCCAATTGGTGGTACATGATATGTTGCTTATAAAGATCGCTTCTACAACAGTTTAGGTGGACGTGATGGTGACAGACGCAGTGGCGGTGGGATGGGCGAACGCATGGTGTTTATCACTAATCTTGCTTATGAGGTTCGCTGGGTGGAGCTGAAGGATATTCTGCGTGAGCACGGTGGAGAGGTTCGATATGTTTCCTCCTAGCCATTCCATGCGGACCACGTGAAATTGTCGAATCATCGTCGATTGATCATTCAAAGAACTTATCTTTTACGTAATAAGTTTCTCTTGGTGACATTAGGCCCGCCTTCATATGATCAAGGAAACGCTCCGTTCGATCCCTTGGTCAAGATAGTTACTTCAAATGATTTCTATTGTCAGTAATATTATTCGCTTCGTGGGCATTATTTGTTAATGAATCGGGTACTCATCATTGTTCCTCATAGTGCACTCACCATCCCATGGTCCGCTCCCTTGGCAGTGGTTCCCCGTTTTGCTACCGGTTTGTTTGTCGTCTCAAATTAAGTTCAGGTTGTTTTTGTCGAGCTGTTGGAAGATCGCAACGGACATCCGAAGGGGAATGCGATCGCCGAGTTCAAGACGAAGGAAGGCGCAGCAAACTGTATTAAGAATCTTGATGGCTTCGAGATTCGCAAGAGAAAAATTATTACGAAACCAATCCGCGTATGTTCTTCTCGATTTTTGATCATGGTCTTAATTGTATCCTTCTTGACCTGAGGCCTCTGTGGGTTCAATGCACCTTAAACGTCGTTGTAGCTTCGCATTTACCCTATTCATTTGTCTGGTTGAACAGACTTTGGATTCAGGAAGTGTAATCTGCTACATCTGGTTTTAGTGTCGTCGATCTTTCCTGGCGTGAAAAAGCAGATTTAAAATGTACATGGGTTGGGAAGTGAGTGTTCTGTTGTTAGAGGTGAAGCACTTTTATTATGGATACGGCGGAGATCTGCATTTTAACGAAGGCGGTGTTCTACCTCCCAATTTTTATCCCATTTCACTTTTTCCCACTTGTTGTGCTAGAATACCTGATCTGAGTGTTGTCGCAGAAGCCTAAAGGTGAATTGATTTCTTTAACCGTCTCCTCGCCTTCTCCCCTACTACTCATATAAGCATTTTTTGTGTCCAACAAAACCACACCAACTGTTGTCATCGATCACGTCACAAGATGAGAATAGCAGGTGTTGTGACCCTCACAGATGGCAAAAATTGTTTGAGCTTTCGCAAGATGTTGCATTTACTTATTTTGTCGAAGTAAAACAAGGTTAGTTGAAATTTATGTGGGAAATTTGTTGCCTCTTAGTGAACAATGCACAGTCGATTGAGAAAGAACAAAAGTAGGCATGGACACGTCGAGGAAGTAGTAGGTTTCCCTTACTTTTTGGTAATAGGAATTTGAAAAGTACATCACTAAGTTGTACAAAGTGTATACCTACCTGTTGTCTCTACTTCTACAGAAGATGGAGTTTTGCGTATTCTCTCGAGCATAGTCTCGAACTACGAGTAACTCACCGAGTAATTAGACTAAAGCGTATGTGACGGGTGCTTGGAGCCACAAATAGCTCAACTCGAACATGAAAGCGTGACTGTGAGCAGCAAGAGTTCGATTGTCACGGATGCATTCGTCTGGCATGTTCAAGGTCGTCATGCCCTGTTTTCTGGGCTAATTCACAATTCCTTCAGAATCTAACTGAAGTCGAGGGTTTGTTCGATTCGAAGGTAAAGGGTAGTGCAGGGTGTTCGTTTCAGTGAGTGTGGCCAACTGCTCAGATTTTTGGTGTCGATCTCAAACGCTCGATGATCAAGATAAGTGACTGTGCGAACCTCCTACAGGGTGCGCCAAAATTACCTGCTCAAATTTGCAGAGTTTGACCTATCGATTTAATGCGGTGATGATCTATCGATTAGCCGCGAACATGTTAGGCACTTCTTCCTTTATCAAGAACTCAAGCTTTGATCCTCAGCTCTTGCTCCTTTCAAAATGGTTGGACCTCATCCTCTCAGACCCGCGATTATTCATTTACACCAGATGGGTCGCTGTTCCAAAACCATCGCAGAAACTCTATCAGCCAGCAGAAAAACAGTGGACTCCACCATCAAAAGATTCAAGGAGCTCGGTACTTTAGAAGACCGTCCAGGAAGAGGAAGAAAAACGACCGCAACTTCCACGAGAAATGTTAAAGTTGTACGGGATATGGTGCGACACAATCCGAAGAGGTCGATGAGCAAGATTGCTAAAAAGCTGGGAATAAGTCATACTTCCACTCGCCGTATAGTCAAAGAGAAGCTGGGATTGACACCTTATCGATGCCGAAAGGTGCACCTCCTCACTGCATCTATGAAGAAAAACCGGGTCCAGAAGTGCAAAATGCTCCTCCAACGGTTCGCGTCGGCGCGCCACCGAGACATTGTCTTCTCCGATGAGAAACTGTTTACGTTGGAGTCGACCTTCAACCGTCAAAACGATCGTGTGCTCTGCTCGGCAGCTGAAGAAGCTAACGAGAGTGGAAGAATTCATGGTCGCTCTGGGCATGCAGAAAAAATCATGGTTTGGACAGCGATCACCTACGAAGCGAAATCCCCGCTGGTTTTACAGCGATGTTAAAATCAATACGGAAGTCTACTTAGAGAGCGTGCTGAAAAACACCTTGCTTCCCTGGACACAATGCCACTTCGGTTCGTGTTCCAACAAGATTCAGCACCGGCTCATAGAGCGAAGGTGACGCAGCAGTGATGCCGAGACACTCTAGCAGGATTTATCAGTGCTCAGGAATGGCCATCTAATAGCCCTGATCTGAATCCAATGGATTATTCCGTATGGTCGCTATTGGAGAGCAAGGCCTGCTCTATGCAACATCACTCAATCGATTCGTTGAAGAGGGACCTGCTCAGAGCATGGGAAGAAATACCTTTGGAGTACCTTCGCGCCACAGTGGACGACTTCCCCTCACGTCTGAGGGCCTGTGTCCGAGCCAGCGGAGGGATATTCGAGATTTGACTTGACTGTGTGTAATGACTTGATGTAAATAAAGTGTTGTAAAAAAATCAGTCCTCAATCTATCTTTTAACCGATTTTACAGCGGTGAATATTTGAGCAGGTAATTTTGGCGCACCCTGTAGTACTTCTTAAGTTTGAGTTGATGACGTTCAACAGAGAAAGAATGCGAAAGGTGTTTCTTCCAAATTCTCGTTTGTAAGACGATGTGATCCTCCTTTGGGTAGCTTCGATACTTTCCTGTTCCGAAAAGCATCATTTCGATATCGCAACCTTTGAACAAGATCCAAAGAATTCACGTGTCTTGAATACTCCAGAAAAGCGTATCGGCGACGAGGAACACACCTTATGAGATGCCTGTTCAAGTGGGTCGACCCAATGCTTCAAATATCTATTGTTGCTGGGTCAGATTTGTACTTTCATCACCCACGTGGTTGTTCTTGATTCAGTCTGTCAGAGTTCTTTCTTCCACTTTGTAGCGCTCCTCCGTATCCTGATAAAAGTTAACAATAGCCAGCTTTCAACGGTAATCTTTTAACAGCAGCGTTTGTCGTGACAATTGTTTCAATTGGATTTGATCTCTCTTAGTAGAATCCAGTGACGGCTCAAATTATTTCCGTTTCAGGATCCAGCTGCATTTTTACGTAAGGTACAAGAAGAAACGGGTGTTGATTATTTGGCTAAGTGTGGAGGCTCTGCACTTGCTAGGGTTCGCGATGACCGCCCCGCTCGAACGGGCAGCTACGATCTTTTCGGATTGAGTCCGGAGTTCCTGCGTCAGCACAACATAGATCCTCCTCTATGTGATCGCGTTTTCATTGCAAATGTAGGTTTTGAGAATTTTTAGGGTAGGGTTGCTCTCAAAGTGTAGGCCCTGTAAGGGGAAATGTTAGTCTACCCAATTGCATCACGCTATGCTTCAGCTGTCATTCAATGTTGGAACTGGACGGATTTATGATATATTTGGCCTCGCCGGTAATATTGTGTGGATGGATCTTCATATGGACAAGGAAGGGAAAAGCAAGGTTGAGCAGCATAATATTTTCGTTATTCTGTAGACTGCGCAATGCGATTCTCTGATCCTAAGTTTGATTTAACCTCAGGGTGTATGTATTCTTCAATTTTCTCATCCCATCGAGGCAGTGCAAGCAATTTCAATGTTCCACGGACAGAAGCTTTACGACCGTGTATTGGTTGTGAAAATGGACAGATATGAAAAAGTTAGTCGTAATGTTGCTCTGGTTAGGGTATTATTTTTAAAGAGTATTCTAGTTTCAGAGTGAACCTCCTCGTGAAGGCGCTCTTCCACGTGGACTTGAGGCTATTGGAGCTGGATTGGGAGCAAATGGAGCCCCACTTACAGACGTCGCCTCTGTGGTTGCATCTCTTCGCGGAGACGGAGCAGTGCCCGCTGCCGCTATAGCCCCCGTCCCGGCCCAGTCTAGTCAGGTACGTTAATTTCAATTACCGTAGTGGAGTCGCTCTTGAGTTGACCTTTCTCTATGAGAATCTGGTTCCTGTCATTGGTAAAGCTGTAATATTGCTACTGCATTGTAGTACTCGTCCTTTGGGATGGGCTCTGGCGTGTTGTCTAGCAGTGCTGCCTTCCAGTCAACTCCTTACTCCGTTACGCCGCATATTAGCAATGGTCAGAGTTTTGGAGGGTTAGGTAGGCTGAAGGGATATCAGCCTAAATCTCTTCTTTTTCACCATTTAACATCTTTGTTGAGTATTCAAAATGATTTCTTGCTGTTCAAACAGGTGGTGGAGTGGGTTCGTTTCCATCAGCACTAGGAGCTTTCGACGCAAGAAGAGGTGCGATAGACAGAGTCCTTTCAAATTATTTTAGCTACTTATTTACATCTTGTTCCAGATGATGCTTTTCTTGGGGCTGATTCGCGAAGAGGTGAGCTACCAAAATTATCAGGTGTGGTTGTGTACTCATTAACTTACCAATTTTACGTGTGTTCCTTCTTTATTAACTGTATTTGATGAGAATTACTTAAGAGACTGTTTTGTCTTCGTTGCCGATCTCGATTCTATTTCAGATGACTCTCAGTTCGGCATGAATTACAACGTCAGCCGTGTTGTAATTATTAGGAATGTAAGGGAGTAATTAACACTTCAGAATAGTGCCCTTCTATAATCACTTTGCTTCCAGCTACCACCTGACTACACATGGCAAATTGTACGTGATCGAGTCCAGCAATTCGGAGATGCGGAGTCTGTTGAGATGATCGCAGCAGGGGTTGCACGCGTCCGCTTTGCTCTCATTCAGGTTTGACAACTTCTTATAATAAAGAGGAAATGAGAGCATCTGTTAGCCGTTGTTTTTCAGGATGCTGAGCGCATGCGTGGTGCTTTGACTGGAACTACCGTTGAAGGACGCACAATTTCTGTTGAGTACATGCATTAACACAATCCATGAACTGGTGCCGTAGAGTACCCAGCTGCGTATTTTCTCTGATTTATATTCTCTAATTATTCTTTACGTATTTAATATCTCCACTGTTTTCCGAGTTCCGTTCTGATTATCATTGTAATTAAATGTTTTTGTGTAGCGAGTAGTTGTTCCCAAGGTTATTGTCTCGCTCCTTTGTTTTCGTTGTTACGTATTTGGTTTGGTAGAATGAGGAAAGCCGCAGCTGTGGGGTTGCGGCGGTGACCCATGGCACAATGCAAAGCCTCTACGGACCGTTATCACAAGCATTATTCCCTTCCTTTTTTCCCTTTTTCGTAAAGAGATACTCATAGTTTCCAAACATTCGTTGACTTTTCTTAAAGGTCACTGTTTGAAGCCAATCCTCAGCATATAAATTGTTGTTTGTACTGGTCTTACAATTGGTTTTAAAAAAGTTGCTTCAGAGAATGCTAACTTTGAGAAATCCAAGCAAGTTCGAAGCATGGTTTACTTGGTGCGCAACAGCTACACTTTCGCTGTTTGAATTCCTTTTAGTTGCCATTTTCTTCTGGGAACAGGGAACCTCAAACAACCGAATTGAAGTTTACACACTTGGTAAGAGGATTAATGCAGAGTTTCAGCCGTACAAAAGATATAAACGTAGTAGCCTGAGACTAATGAGCAAATTTTCTAGGCATCATCCACACATATACGTATGTAAACATACGCCTGTTTGGGCGGACTTTGTGTCTGTTTGACAGGTAAAATTTTTGCGCCACGTGATCGTACGATACAGGGAAGGAAAGAAAACGGGGAGGAACCAAGCGGAATTTTGGCTGATGCAGTATTCTATATGCGGAACATAAGAATGTCCATGTTCTTCTTGAGTAATCGTGGATTAGAGGCAGTGGTCATGTAATACACGCGTAACCCAACTGGTTAAGATAGAAGTGAGAAACTTCACCCACAGATCCATATTTCGACTAGTTCCTTCCGTGAAAAACTTTCAACACGTGTGCCGAAGTTCCGACTTCGTCTATGACTCTTTACGGAATGACGGCACTATGGTCAACTGATGGGGTTACTGGCTATTGAGCGACTTCGTGACACTCACTATCATTGCAGCTTCTGGGGATTGGTAATCGCCGGATTTCTGTCCTCTCTCCCTTCCTGATCCTCACTTTGTACAGTAGCGGCGGATGGTTTACTTGCCTCTATTGTGGCGTACTCAGTGGAGTGTACAAATAAAAATCGCCAAATGAGCTTGCTGAATCACACCTGTAATTTACAATAAGATCAGAATTTCGTCGTAAGTTGTATTGTTAGCCTTCCGAGATTTTAATAACAGTTTATCAACACGGCTTACGTTTCGGCAATATCGCCTTCGTCGGAGCCTGTAAGTCGAAACTATATTTGTGATTCGTAAGCCACCATTTCAAATTACAAGAAGAGAACTCTAAGGGAAAGTAAAGCGGAAGCGATGAGCTGACCTGTAACCGGCTGGAGCTGTTTGTCTGCACCCTGAGCCCGAAGTTCCTCACGGCGCTTTTATATGTGCTGGGACTCAGAGGTCGGGTCAGGGATTGCTCCAGGGGACCCCCCAAGATGTAAACAACTAAATAAGGTCATACGAGGTCAGGTCCCTGCCGGTGGTCGCGCATCGCCCCTGGTATTGATTTTTCAGCGAGTCTGGGTATTTTCACCCGTCACCCCTGCCCCGGCGCCCCCGCGGGGGTATCGACTGTGTAGATCAAAGCCACACAAGTCTGCGAATGGCGCGAGCTCCCTGGTAATCGCCACGCACTCGTCCTTCCTGTTGATTTTTGGATTCTTTGCTGCGATCCACAGTGCCTCCAGAGTCTTTCGCGCTGANTCACGTAGTATTCTTAAGAACCCATTAGTGTTTGGCAAGTGTGCTGGGACAAACCGTAATAGTTGTATGAGGATTAGGTTGAGAAACCAAGCAATCCTATCCGTAGGGCCACCAACACAACTTATAATGGGTCTTACTTTGAACCTGCTAGGGTCCTCTACATGTATGCCATCCTGGGGGAGTTTATGAGTTTTAACAAGCAGATACAATACGGGACATATGGGTAGGTCACATTTAAGTCTGCTGATCACAGTTTTTGGCAAGTTTGCCAACTTCGCCGTCTCCGTCCACACTTTGTTTAGATGCCGATACTGCCTCGTGAATTCCTCTGGGGCAGAAGGACTGTATGTGGATTGATCTTGTAGGTGCAACCGCGTCATCGCCCGGTCCAAGTCCTGCGAGAGCACTACAAACTCCCCTCCTTTGTCGCTTACGCTTATTTTTATTACACCCGATTGCGATAATTCCCTGAGTTCCTTGAGTCCCCGCCTTTGAGCAGCGCTCAGGTTGGGAGGGACGCGTACGCCTATGTTTCGACGGAGCTCTGAGAAGAGTGTTGTTGCGAATAGACGGAACTTCGTATCAGCAACAACATTAGGCTCTTGTGTTGGAAGAAACATGGCGGGGAAAGGCAGCGGGGGAATCGCCGTATTGTGTTCTGCACGCTGAGCGTTTTCGGAAAGCGAGTCCATTTTAGCTTTGCGACGGAGGCGATCGTGCAGGGCTTGCAAGCTACCCACCATTTTACGTAGTGTACCATGGCCGAGTGATTGGCTAGGGGCGTAACTGGGTCCTAACTCTAAAAGGGCGACTGCATCGTTCGACAATGCTGCGTTCCCGATGACCGTAACTCTGGACCCAGACCCAGAAAAGAATTGTCGTACATTTCTACTCGCACACGTGTTGACGGCTAGCTTTGTTAAACTCAATTCTTGCAATGGGTAAGGTCATGCAAAGGCGACCAGTTAGGTGACTGCATGACTAGTAAGAATTGCTCATGGTACTGATAAAAATCATGCTGCTCAGCAGTTTTAAGTTCTGTATTTGTAAACAACATTATGGACTCTATCTTTAATAATCTTTACTTCTATATCCATGAACAGCCTTCTGAACTCATCGGCAATGGGCTCCCATTCAAAGTTCCATGGGGATTTGAAACCCTTTCCTAGTAAGTGGCAGAACCGAAAAACGTTTCTGCCACTCGGTGTAGTTCTTTGCAGACCGCTTCTGTCCTCTCTGATAACTATAACAAGAATGGGTCAGTATGCAGTCTAGAAGAAGGGAATTCTAGATGCTGCAGGTTTCGTTTGGAAGCAGACAAACAACAAAACTTTTCTATCTTTAGTCTTCTTGCACGCAGGAGGGTCACAACTTTGTTACGGCTATCAGAGCCCTAATGAAATCGCTATAATTAGTTCTGGAAATTTCTTCATTAGATTTGTTCCCAGAACTAGAGGGGACGGTACAAAACGTATGATTCTGGTGGTAGAATCCAGATCCGCCTAAACTACTTTTCTACAGTAGCCAGCGTTTTCTCAACAAAGTGATTTGCACGACGCTTTGAATGTCTCCGAACCTGTAGAAACCTCGCCGGAAGATTAATTGCTGCAGAGGATTCCATTCCTCTTTATTAAACTTATTAAGCTGCCTTCATGATTGATTCTTTTTTTTTGTTCCAAGACTTTACTACATCTTTTTTATAGTTTTCTTTGTATTAGTCGGTACACAGTCGTGTTGCAATTCGACATGTCTTGGCATACTCTACACTCATTGCTAGTAATCATGGCATCTGCCTACGCCCATGAATAAATAAATAAATAAATAAGCCTAAGGATAAAACCAATCAGGCAACTTCTGCTACTCGACGCGGTTTCCTGAGCACCGTTCCTCTCCACTCTAATAACAACGAGTTTCCTAAAAGCCTCAGTGCAGCAGCCCACATAAAGGAAGGGCAGCCACTTCGTGGATTCCGAAGTCACTCAGCAACCGATTGTGGGACTAGGTGAAGTGGGCAAAACAACATAAAGTGACAGCCATGCCGAGGTTCATGGAAGCTCGAATGTGGAGACCACTTCACAAGTGTAATTAGATTTGTAACATTTCAATTACCGCATCTATTCTCATTCAATGCTGCAATCTACTTCCTCGGAACCGATCGACTATTGTGCGCGTTTGAACAACTTTCCACTGTAATGACTTTTTTCGAAATTTTTCTTTTCCGAAGAACAGGTCCATATCGGTTTCTTCCAGCTGCTCCTCTTCGTATCTTGAAGTTGGTGCATAGGCAACAAAGATTGCAGAAGCTGGGTTGGGCGCAGTTTCGAAAATCCACGTGACAGCACTGTTCCACGTGAAAGGCCGGCGCCGTCGATTGGCCGCTTTCAGACTTCGACGACGGTCCGACCGTCCGTTCAACACGTACGCGACGGCGGTTGCGTGTGTGCTGCGACGGCGGCGCTAGAGTAGTGTTGACAAAGCTGGCACGTGATCTAGTGTTATAACGGCTAACTGCATTTTTGTTCCACTTTAGCATCCTTCATTTTTGGCCCAA